TCCGTGGTTGATATTTCGGTATTTTGCACATTTAAGGCTGCTGTGCGAGAAATGACTCTCTGATGTTTATGATAAGCCAAATCCGGGTTCAGCGTTGATTGAGCGGGTGGTGGTTTGAATTGCTTCATCCTATATTTCACATCTTCAATTGACTTGCACAAACTGGTTAAGTACGGGATAGTGTGTACAGTATATAGTGCTAGTTGGTTTTGTAAATATGGTTGCAAATTTCTCTTGATGGATTGCACTCTTACCGTTTCCGAAGGAAATCTTGATAATCTTCTAAATAAATTCTCCATAACTGCAATGAAGACGATTACTGGCTCATCTATGCCTTGTGTCCTTTGACGAATTTCATCCATGAGTTCATATTCATAATCGCATGGTAGAAAAGCCTCCTTGAGAGCACTAGTCAAATCATCCCAGTTGCGTATGGTTCCTTTTACAGCTCGATACCATATTAACGCATCGCCTTTGAACAATTGAGAAGCTGATTCGAATACTTGCTCTTTAGAAAGATTCCATGCTTGACGGAGTTCTTCTATCCTCTCTAAGAAATTTGGCAGACTGGACTGTCCATCGAAGGTCAGATTCCATTTCGCAATTATTGCTCCTTTGGGCTTTGTTAATAATTGTTGCATCTCTATCGAATCGTTGAAAAACCCAACGGGATGTGCGGTCGAAGAATGTGTAGGTCTCGCTTGTGACCGAATTGGTCTATGTACTGGACTTGAAGCGATGTTTTCCGTTATAGGGATTATTTGTTCGACGATTGGCTCATCCATGATACTGCACTGCATAACCGAAGGGCCTGAGGTGCCTGGCATCATGGGATTCATACTAGGTTGGGGTGCTGTACTCTGTGCTATTGGAATAATAGATCCGTTGTCTCCTTGCTGTAGTTGGACTTCAGCGGGATCGTACTTTTCTTCTAGATATTCAACTAAACGCATACAGTGTGTAAGGAGTTCGGACCGTAAATCAGTAAATTCGGAATTTTCGCATGCTAGTCGTTTTAATCGACCCTGTACATGCAATAGACGCGTTTGTATTCGTTTATATTCATTTTCCCTATTGGTTTGATCAAATGACTCAATGCATTGTTCCAATTCTTGTAATTTACTTGAGCATACTTGCAATTCCTTTTTATTATCTAACTTAGACAAGTTAGGGATTGGTGTTAGTGAAGAGTTTTCTAATCTTAGGCACCCTCGAAGTGCAGAGCGCTTTTCGGCTACAGTACCACTAGTCGACATATCTCTAATGGCTAATTCATAAGACAACTCATCTCCTAATAACCTATTAACCTCCATTCTAAATACTAACCTAATGTATTCCCAAAAAAAAAGAAAAATATATATACAACCTATACCTAATGTTTCCACTTGGAACGTCGAACGTCCTCTCCCCCAAAAATAACTATAAAACTAAAATTAACCTATTCCTATATTTTCACCCTTTTAAGTAGTAAAACGAACTAATTAAGTCCTAAAAAAAAATAAAAAAACAACCGTTGGGCGCCAATTTGTTACCTATTTAAGCTGTCGGGAATTGCGGCGAGGTAACTTAGGTTCCGCGGCTAACTCTCGCGCGGGCGTGGTAGTTCTTCAGAACGAACTCTAAATGAATGCTCGGGAGGCGCCAGGTCCTTATCCCTAGTGACTCTCCTGCCGGACCTACAGGAAGGGTATTGCCGCAATAGAGAAAGGAAAGAAACAAAATGTGCGCCACTAATGAATCTTTAATGTCAAATAAAACTAATTAAATTGTTCTCCTACTCTCACAACTAAATGAACAAGCCTAAGGTGACTCGAAGCGGGTTTAAATTTCGCGGTGACTACAGGGACTTCTCCAAGAACCCCCTTGCCGACTAATCCGCAATACCTTTTGGTAATAATGACCACTGATTAGGTCGGCCGAACCCTTGTAGGAAGCGCTTTCTACCGGTCGCACCCTGTATAATATAAATTAAGTGACAGTAGTTCGGATAGGCTGTAATTTGGAACTACAGTAGGTAATTGAGTCGGGAGAAACAACCCCGATGTTAGAATATGGGCAACAATAAACTAATCGGGCTATGCGATTATGCCAGCGTTAAGGTGTTTTCGTTCTTTGTGATTCTCAGAGCGTCTTTGTGCGTCAGCAATAGCTGGGTTGACGGTACGACGAATCACCTTTACATACAAGTAAGTGACAACAACATTTATTACACAAATAGTGGCTCTGACTCCCAAACTTTTATATTTTATAATACTACCAACTACACAATTCATCGGCAGTGGCTCGTACCACCGAATGACTATTTCCAACTGCCCGCCTGTATCTACAAGTATGCCTCCAACTGGCTAGACGACTTCCCAATGGACGACACACATAGGTTACATGAAGACATACCAAGTCGTTGAGGGCTTCAATAACTGGCTACCTAACTTAAGCGTGGACTGCGAAGATGTTGACGATGTCTAAGTAACTTCCGATATCAGGGACGCTATATGCTACGGGTACGGAATGACTAACAGGTGACACGAACTTCAACCACTTTGTTTTTCCTAGGTCTCGGACAACGTACCTCTCACTAAAAGCTATAAACTACTCATAGAATGACACAAACGACGTTGGACAACTACATACCCAGTTCGGCTTTAAAAGTAAGCGGCCTTTAAATCCCCAATACTGGGTAAAATTAATCAATGTATGCCTAACTGGCTCAATATCACAAAAATCAATTAATTTATGAATGCTTGTGCAACTAAAGATCGGTTAACGAATTTTTCTTTCAAAATTTGTATAGTTTGCACAGCAATGGCCGTTCATAATCTGCCTTTTACAACGGTCTCCTTTTTTAAAAGATAATCTAACTGGAATGTGACCTATGACATCCTATATGATAGCTAGTGACGAAAATATCCTAAGAATATGCAACACATCGTTCACATCATATATAGTATGACCCATTAGTAACTTAGGGTGAATTTAACATGTAAACAACCTTACTAATGGTAATTGATGTAAAAATTGTTTCAGAAGCTCTCAATAATGCGAGTTTACATAGAAAACTGGTTAGAGAAGCAGCTTATACCAAATGTACCAGAAAATTCAATTGTGGTTATATGGATAACGCAATTGTGATCCTAAATAGCTGGAATTGGTTTAAAGGTTAACGATGAGCAAGGTTGGTATATTACAGGTTGCCTCGTAACTGCAATAATGGGGATCAAGTCGTCTGCTCGTGACGTCACTGGTAGCCACTCAAATTTCGTTACCTTGTCATTACTTGTCATGTGACATACGCGTAAGGTTATAAATATTGAACCTGTGCATTCAGAACCTAGAAATATTATTAAAAGGGTCGTGGAATTCTTTGACAAACAGAAAGCTGCCGTATGTGGGCATTTCCTTTGGAAAAGGCTACAGAGCTAGCTGCTGCTGTGCCGGCAAATCAATAAAACTCATAACTAAATTAGGTAATGTTAATTTCAATTTCAATTATTGATGGAACGTAGCAACATTGTTGATTGGCGGTCACGATATTTACGGAAAATGAAAGAAAATGATGCTTTAGGGAAAAGCGGGTCGGCAGAAGATGAACGTGTTTAAAACTGACCGAAGCAGGAGGATCATATGGTCTCGTTGATACCGCCTATCTCATCTACAAATCGAAGACTTAAGTGTAGAGACGATATAAACTGTGACTATGCAATTGATTGTTAGATGAAGCTGTTTATCTTTCACGGTAAACACTGGTACATCAGACGAAGATTGACTGTATTATATAACGATTTATAATTACTAAATTTTAAAATATAAAATGAATATTTGTGTTTCACTGGTTAAACGATTCAAACCTCATCAAAGAACTGTAAACAATAGCTACGCATCAAATTTTCCAGCTGTATGGCTGCATGCATTTATTATTTCGTTTAAATCGTGGGATACCAGTGACGTATTCGCGCCTCGATTGCTATTGGTCGATAGTTACGAGGCAACCTGTAATATACCAACCTTGAACGATGAGTGCTGAAGCACAACGAATATTGCTTTTTTGTACTCCGTGGACTAAATCAACGTGTTCTGCCTTCCAGGGACTAAAGTGATACTATTTATCCCGGAAGAAGAAACGCGCGACGAGGGACAAGAAGTGACAGAACACACTGAAATGTAACACAGTTTAATGATTACATTTTGGATATTGCACCATATTTCATACTTATTATACCGTTTTCCATATATTTTTTTGAATTTGGGAGGCAGTGGTTTCCCCATAGGTTGTCCTGTAAAGTTTTAAATGATCATTTCTGCGCCGTTAGTTTTGAACGAGAATCTTTACATTTTCCCTTATTATTCTACAGTCACAATTTGATAAGACAAGGTATATTGCCCCTACAAACAATTTTTAGCTCCAATATGGCGGATTAAGTTGTCACCACTGTCCTAATGCAGCCACTGTAGTTCAGCCGTTGAGCCGGCAATGAGAGTGCAAACGGACCGACAGACCGACAGGCCGACATCATCGAGTTTTATTTGATTCGGATTTCTGGTGCTTCACAAGTGTATTTCCGTCAAAAAAGTGGGGGGGGGGGGTCTTTTTTTACCCCAATGCAATACCTCCCTTCGTTAGTGCAGGTGGTGATTGACCTGTAACTTCTTTCAAATTTTACCTCAAACACATATATGAATCAAGTGTCAAATTTGAGTAGCCCTTTTCATAGTAATTCAACGCATCCTTTCCGGTGGCACAGGGTTGATGCACTGTTGTACTTGTCCAACACGTATCGGACTTTCTCAACCTTTCATCCAATAAAAAGGTTCTTAGGACACACGAAATCAAGGTCGTCTACACTCTACAACTGGTCTAATAGGATGCCTGAGATATTACCCAACCCAAAGTGAAGTTTGAACCACTGTCGAACTGTAGTGTGGGCCCTGCACCCGCTAAACCACTTCTCACTTTGCGGGTATCGCCAGTGGCATTCCTCCGCGAGTGATCTCTTAATAAATTCTTATTCCTGCCTGTTTCCCACTTCCGCTCTCGCCTCCCTTTCTCGTGTGCCTATTATTTGGACTATCCATTGTTCTATAATTCGCCACTTGTCCTCCGTTTCCAGCATTATACCAATAACATTACCGTCCTCTAAAATTTCTCCTATCTTAATGGCCGCCGGCCACCTTTCGGCTTCCCACCTGGGACAGTATAATATGCCATGTCCAGCGTCGTCGGTCGCTCCGCAGTCCTTACATCTATCGTGCTCCCTCTTTTGTATTTTTTTTAGGTACACCCCGTTTTGTCCGTGTCCAGTCAGAAATTTCGTGACGAAATAATTCGTTTCGCCGCGTTTCCTTTTGGTCCACCTGTTCAGGTGCCCTATGACCGATTTGGTCCACGACTCCCGGGCCTGCCATTCTGCTTCCCACGCGTTCAAGACCTCCCTGTTATTCTTACCCTCGAACCTCGCGCTGATCTTCAATCTTAGTGGGGGTGTACTTGCCACTAAAGTCACTAAATATATCTAGTGACTTTACTTGCCACCATGAACAGATTTGTAATTGACACAGTGCGGTAAGCCGCCGCTATTTTCAGCGCCATTTTTCTTTGTAACCTGTCTACTAACTCCCTAACTTTCCTAGTGCGAATAGCGCTGCGCCACACCTCGCTTCCATATAGCATCATGTTGTTCATCGCCGAGGCTATCGCCCTTCTTTTACCCCCTCGTGGCCCACCTGTGTTCCACATCAGTCGATTTAACTTCTCCGCCATTCTACTGGCTTTTTCTACCGCTTTCTCTGCGTGCTGTATGAAAGTTAGGTTCCTGTCTATCTTCAATCCTAATATCTCCATTGACTTTTCTACGGCTGCCTTGGTTTTACTTCCTACTAATTTAAGGCCTCGTTCCTCCATCTTTGCACCTTCGACATGACCCTTTGAGCCTTTTTTGCGGCGCACTCTAACTTGCGGTCTCTATAGTCACTATACTAACGTCATCCGCGTAAGCCACAAGGTCCACCCCTGTCGGGACTCCCAGTCTTAACATCCCGTCGTACGCAATATTCCACAGGAGTAGCCCTAACACTGACCGTTGGACACAAAAACGTAACTCTTCCCAGACGGTAATTTCCCTACGTTCTTCCTGTCATTGAGATAACTATACACAACTCTCCTCAAGTAGCCAGGAATACCCTTTCTTTCCAGTTCTTCCATGATAACCTTTGTCGGGATCGAGTTGAAAGCATTTTGTACGTCTAGGCAGCCAATAATTGTCACCTGTATCACATTACCTGTTCTTGTGGTTCAGTCTACATCGGTGAAACTGCTAGGTTAGCACTCGAATTTGTAGCACAAACGACATGTTTGAGGTCATCAGTCCGCTGTTACTGAGCCTTCTCTTCAAACTAGCCACAATTCTATGTTTCAAGAAGGCAAGTCGTACGAGGAAGGGTCACTTTCCCTGCTTTGGAATTCTGTTATCTCACTGGTTGAATTATCCTGACGGAATAGGTTTAGGTAGCGAGGTTTAACCTTCTCCTTTCAATGTTCCAGCGTGTGCAGTTTAGTGAAATAGTGCTCATCGGCAAGAGTTTTACATATTTTTGTTTATATGTGACATTACGATCTATCCACAGACTGTGGATCTATCAAATTGAATATTCAACTTTTGTTTTTCAAATGCAATGCCTATGTTTTTTTACGGTATTTAAAAAAGCAATCAATTTTCTGTATGACAACATATAATATGCATAATATGGTTGACATACAAAACAAGTATAAATTGTGCACAACTCTTGTGCATTTTTTTAACCGAAATAGCTTTGTTTTCAAATCACCAATGGATATATTCGTTGCAGACGTCTCAATCGCCCTTTGTGAGTACACTCTTCCGACAAGCCGTTCTTGAGATATAAGGGAATATACCCGATTACGATAATAGGTCGAGGAAATTGGTAGAGATTAATTCCTTTCATTGAGACCTTTCATTAGAATACCATGAAGGGTAGAACATGTGTTTATCCCCCCTCCACCCCTCAATTTTCTAAAGTTTAACTTGCCACCACTAAAGACATGCGTATGCAAAATCTTGTGGTATGTAAAAGTTATGCACGTTTTACTTTCAAAAACAACAGGAAATAATTCGTGGGGGGGGGCCCTTTTAGACAGCGAAATTTGATGGCCGTCTGGCATACCTTCAAGGTATAGGCTACCTACTTCCAGGACTCTAGGACCATTCCCCTAGAAGTAGTTCAAAACGGCAGAAGTGAGTCCGGACGGACCGACATACGGACGGACAAAACGCAAACATTAACACATTTTTTTTAATTCTTAAAAAATGCGCTAAAAATGGAGATATTTATTTTTGTGATTCAATATTTAGAAAATTTATAATATCTAGCATGCCGTGTGCCATATCATACAAAAAAAAACCTAGAATAACTTCTTCAATGTTTCGTTTTTAAGATTTACTTTTGCTTGATATACGATCTATCCGTGTAAAGCGCGATTCATACTATACGTATCGTCCCCGTTCCGTCACCGTACCGTCAACGAAACGTCAAATATTATTACATTGAAAGCTATAGACATATTCAATAGGTACCTATGTCTATATAACTCTCGCCAGGAGAGATTGCCGGTCACAGCACACCTTGTGTCGATCTACAATCTATGTTTTTCTTAAGATGCGAGCGACTTCCAGAATAGGATCGTGCCAATGTTGAATGAAAAGTCTTTTTGTTCAACATTGACACGATACTATCCCGGAAGTCGCTCACATCTTTAGAAAAACATAGATTGTAGACCGGGATCAAGTGTTCTATGACCGGCAATCTTTCCTGGCGAGAGGTTTCAATGCGGGATGCTAGATTTCATAAATTTTCTAAATACTGAATAATACCCAATTTCTCTATTTTTTTGTATATCAACCATATGCATATTTTACGTTGTCATATAGCAAATTGATTGCTCTTTTCAAATATCGTATAAAAATATAGGCATTGTATTTGAGTAACAAAAGTTGTGTAGATTTCCGATTACACCGGAAGTGATACCGTAAGTTTGAATATGCCATCAGATAGATCGTAATGTCACATATGATGAATTTTTCGTATCTGCCCAAATGAAAGAAATATTGAGGTGACCCTCTTATCTCGAACGCACTGTATACTAAATGAGACATGTGCTCGTACTTCTTAGATTTGTGCTCTTTCACAATTAATCAAGCTATCCAATAACAATCAGTAATAATCGCAAAGGAGGATTACTACAACCTGAGCGCTCGTTGCTGTTTGTATTTATGTTATTGATTAAAACATCATTCGAATAGGACCGCATGGTTTGAGTGACAATTATGAACCATCAAATATACAGCGCAGTAAATTAAAACTGGTGTCAATTTCAAATTCGTTCGATTATAACTTCCAATTAACTCTAATTGAACAGCTCCAATGTAACTATTGTTTCGGCCGGTATTCTTTAGTGTTGCGGACTAATAAACTTTAATATGACGCAAGGAACAAAAACAAACTAAAAAATACTCAAAAGGCAATTGAACTATAAAAGATTCACACGTGTGGATATTTACATTCACATTTCTATAACGCCTATTTATCAATGGGGACGGTCGCATATTTATATGCAGAATTCAGAATAGGAACAAATAAAAATTTATGTACCACTTCCATGCACACTTCATATCTCAATGAATCTGGGTGGAGTTGCTATAGTAACAAGTAACTGCGTAGTTTGCAAGTTTAATTCTGGGTCATCAGGAGAGACGCAGCTTTAAGACCTTCTTGTTTGAGATTTCATTGAAGAGGGAGAGAATGTAATTTATTTCATTCTTTTTCTTTTTGACTGGATAAGAACAACATGTGGCCATACTTTCAACTTATTATTAATTTTCTTCTTGTTATGCCCTCCACCTCAATTATTGTCATTTACAAAGGATGAGACCTTAATGTAATTTTAAAAAATCAAACTGGAAGGCTTTACGCTAAAATTGAAGCACAAATCAATTATTTACTAGCATTTTTTCCCGCTTGAGAGGGTGGATTAATTAAACGACGTCGTTGATGCCTAGGCAGTTGAGTGCGAATTGCGAATTAGAAATTGTGTGCACTTGACGTAAATTACTTTACTAATGACTAATCCCAAATTGTTCCTGAATCAACTCACACGCATATACGCATCTACTTGCACCGTCTGTGGTAAGGTTTCACAGTTAGCGATGCAGTGTCACTAGTTTTGCCCTTACATTATTGACGCACTAATCACTATATAGTAAATTATGTTATAGGTGATGAGACCTGACAACTTTAGTGGTAAGTACGTGTCGGGCAATATGGTAAATTCCTGGACAGGCAGAGGCTGTGAATGGTCGCTTATGCTGACCTTAAGTTTACCAAAAATGTCTACCGTTGTCGTGTGTGTTGAAAGGAACGGGCCCTTTAATATTGTAACCAGTTTGTTTGTCGCACTAGAGTGAAGTGCTTACGGTAATTACATAGAGTTGCCAAACCGCACTTTTATATCATGTTTAGTCCTAGAAATCGAAATATTTATGTTTATAGGTAGTGTTTTAACGCGGGCCCGTCATACCGACATTTTGGCTGGAGCACTTTATGTAAAGAGAATAGGAAATTCTTGCTACCGAGTGTTATAAGTACAGTTGCAATTTACATATTATAGCGAATTTTTTAGAGCGATATCAAGGCGATAAAGGATTAGTCGCCGGAAATAAGAATGAAAGGGGATGCGACTCATTCTTACCATACAATGTGATAAGCTGATTCGAGACTTCTCTACAAGGTTTTTGTTTGCTATATAAGCAAATTGAATTATAGGTGTTAGTTTCAGTCTTAATATCGATGCCGATGTGATAGATTTGTTTATAAATAGGTCACAGAATTTACACTGGTCGCAAGTGTCGGCTGTGTTTAAGTACTGCACACGAAGTAAGTACCCAAGAATGAAGAATGAAAAAAAAGTGATCTATGATCACACAAGATCTGCTTGATGTTCCACAATCTTCCCGCAAAGAAGCCGAACCCCTCCGAACTGTGGAAGGATTGGTACGACCAAAATTTGAGTTAAGCCACTGACATTTGATGAAAAATCATCGTGGTCTACCTACTTGGGACAGTTTGAAGCCGCTGCTGCTACAAATAAGTGAAAAGTCCCTAAATTTTGGGGGGTCTTAATTTTCAATGTCATCAGAGGTCAACGACTTTATTTTTTGCGGTGTCATATTCCATTGTCAAGGTCACCAGAAGTCAATTCCCTCAATTTGTATGCTGTCATATTTCATTGTCAAGGAAAACAAGTTCAATGACCTCACTTTTGCGGTGACATTTCATTGTCGGCGTCATCAAAGTCAATGGCACCATTTTTTGTAATGTCAAATTATATTTCTAAGGTTATCAAAGTTCAGTGACCTTGAATTGTTTGCGGTGTCATATTTCGTTTCCAAGGTCAGCAAAGGACAATGACAATTAAGATATAATTTATAAAGCACGTATACATACATGTATAACTCTTGTCAGTCGACGGCGCCTTCCTTTTACCAAAGAGTATGTGGGGGGGGGGGGGTTAATGTCATGTTTTACCCTTCATGGTATTCTAATGAAAGGTCTCATCGAAGAAAATTGGTTTGTACAAACTATAACTTTTATATAACGTAAAGAGCGAAATCCTTATGAGAATTTGCCTGTCAGTGTAATGTTAGTTGCTTACAAGTAATTATTGCATTTTTTACGAAGGTAGTCCCTGACAGAGATTATTAATCCTCTATACAAGAACAAATACAAGCCTCGGTTCAAAACATGCGAGTACAAACACGCTGTTCGAGTTACAAGTGGGCGTCATTCAAGGATTGCTTATTACACTTTATTTTATTTCTTATCTTCCTG